AAAAGGGGACATCGAAGCTTCATTTGAAACTCTGACCAAGTCTTTAGTATATGTATAATATAAATCAAAAACTGGAAATTAGAAAATATGAAGAGAGTATCTAGCTAGCTAAGTGCTTGCTTATAAATGAAGAAAAAAGTGTAGTATGTATTACTTTATGAAATGATTTTCATAGAGAAAATAACCAGAAACATGTCAAGCTTAGGTGGGCAATTTAAGTCTTCCTTCTAACGTGTGGACCAGTTCAGGTTTGAGCTTTGCTCGACAGTACAACTAAAGATTCAATAAACAAATACACAAAAACCTTGAAATTTATTTATGAATTAATTACTCTTTAATTTTTCTTGTCCTTCACACTATGAAAGGAACTTGGATAGATATATGATGGAAGAAAGCTTCATATGATAACAAAGTAAAATAGAAAGGAGCAAGTCTATTCCGATTTTCAAAAGTCGATAGTTTGAGTACAGAAACAAACTGCCATTGGATTATTACTACATACCACGTCTATTACAAATAGAGCATTTCAGTAAACTATTGCAACCAGAAGCATTCAGCAAGTCAAAAAGAATCCTGCAATCAAAGAATGATATCATGTTAGTTATCACACCTTCAAAAACAAAATATAGCTGAGATAAAATGAGAGGAGACGTGGTACTTAGAAAAGAAGAAACCCAACTGAAATAGAGTATCACGTTCTTGATTTATAGTAGTTCATTTGTGCAACTAGATTGGTGTTTTAGTAAACATGTAAACTTTGTCATACTGGCTAACAAGTCTCACAGAGAAGTTAATTTACAAGCCATACTTGATACCTTTGAGATAAACCTAAACAAGACCATGAAAAATAATAGTACAAATCAAGTTAGATACAAATAGAAAAGTTGTCACTTCCTTTTTTGGATGTTAAGTAATGGGGTTGTTCTCATTTCCAAAATAGATAATCAGCTCATTTCATCAAAGTACAAACTCAACCTTGTACTTTGCTTCTCCAGTCTTCCCAATGCAAGTTATAAAACATGGGATGACAAGGAAATATCAGAACAGTAGTAAACTAATGTAAAGGCTAATACTGGGAAAAACTTTGCAATGTACTCTTAAACTGATATTCAACCAAAAATCCGAGACAAGCAAAAGAATCCCAATTATCAAAAAGCATGAGCACATCAATTATTCCCATGACTACCAATATCATTCATTGAGAAAATGGAGCAGTTGGAACTTAGAAAGAAGTTTTCAACCGGAAGCAAATGAGAATTGAAAATTCCATTTGGTGAGTTAGAAAAAACAGTGATTCTGATGGAGGGATGTGAAATGGAACAAGGAATACTGAAGGTAATCAGTAAACCAATACTAGGGAAACAGCAGGAAAGATCTGACGCGGAGGAACAAGCCTGAAGAATGTAATTGGTCTATGGGGTGGAGAAGGCAAACAGAAGGATCCGGAAGACAAATACATCAGACAGATGGCAGGAGATGTGAAATTGGAAAGAATTATACAAAGTGGTAGATTCTGTGATAGAATTGAGCGAGTGGGATTCGGAATCACCGCGGGTGCTAACAGTAGACCACTCAAAAAGCAACATTGGCAGATCTTTCCAAGAGCCTGGGGTCAATCAGCTGTCGCGCAAAGTGTTTAAGAGATTGTATTTGAAAGCGAAAAGTCTGAAACGAACAACAAATATGGTGTCTAAAGAAGTCATTTTACACAAGCCAGTCTTAACTTTGCACGGTGGCGGAAAAATGTTGGAGATCAGTTAATACATCCAAACAAGACAAGAAGTCTTGGAATCTGATGATTTTCATTGGAGGTGTCAATAAGCTATGACATTTAGTATGAAAAATTAGTAGGAAGCCAGAAGAAAGAAGGGGTGTGACATGGAATGTCATTAACCAGGCAGTGAACTGGAACTAGAAGATCTCTCTTAGAGGAACTAAGCATTCCTTCATGAGATTACTTCATCTTACTAATTTTTCAATATCTTTTGAAGCAAATATCAATTCTGACTTGTATAAATGATTGGCTAACAGCAATAGAGAAAAATATTCTTGTAGCTACGGGTTATTCTATACTTCTTCCATAAGGGGGTAAGACCTTTTTACGAGTAATAAATATATATATCAAAAAAATTATTCCTCAATTTCAAACTAGTTTTGGTCAGCCATTAGACTCCTCTATACCCATTCTGCTCTACTAGATCCACTTCTCAATGCTGGATAATCTCTCTTTTAGAAAATTTGGGGTTCCTTAATAGATGTCTCTTGATCTCTCACTTAGCCATAAAGGTCATTCAAGTCTCTTAGCATAACTAAAAGAACTTCATATTTAACCTCTTGAAATTAGTAATAAGACCTTTATGTAGAAATAACATTATTAGTTGATTGTCGAAAGTTGCAAAATCACGAGCTTCAAAACAATTAACGCCTAAGCTCAGTAAGAACATAGTTAAATAGTTAAACAGAAGAGGAAGTAACAGGTGTTCTGGGATGCAAAGTAAGAAATGGAAAAGGTAGAAGTAGAACAAACAAATGTTAGCTCTTCCGCACCATGTGGCCACGAAGCTGCAAACCCAGTTTTTAATTGAGATTACAGAATACATTCTTGTAATGGCTATCCCAGTGTCGACTTTTATGCAGGAGGGTAACTGCTTATATAGCACTTTCACCCCACCTACTTTTTGTCATGGATAAGGGTGTTACCAAGATAATAAGAAGATACAAAAGCACATTTTAGAAAATCCAGACAGAATGAAGTGAAAAAGTTGGTCACAACATTCTATAATATTCATATATGCTTGCAGCTCATGCTACTCAGTACTCACTAAACACCCTTCGTTTAAAGAAAAAGCAAATACATTACAACTCATAATGATACCGAGGACTATTCCATCTGTGACCCAATTTACCTGATTTCAAACGCAAATACTCTTGTTCCACTCTTTCCACTAGTATACAAGGGTTAACCAGAAAGTTAAGGCAAACAGTTAAAAATGTAGACAAACACAACCTTCAATTCCTCCATAAACATATTTATTCCCTGTGCTTTCATTTTCAAAATAAGCAAGTAATGAGAATATACTCCACCATACAAAGATAGCAACTAACTATTAAAAAGATCACACAACACGATACTGCACATATTGCCTATACTTTAGAGTCCTTAATAATCTCTTCTTTTTTTTTGCAGCCGAGAAATCCCTGATGGCCAGTGAGTGGTGCACAACTCAAAACTCGGAAGTTAACATGCATGCTCATCTATGTTCACCACTTAAATAACAAGTTTTCGTATGCAGAAGAATTTAAACCTATGACGTGCACCTAATCCACACATAGTTAGCTGCGCTCTTACCACTAGTCTTTAGTAATCTAAACAGCATTCACACTGTTGTAGTGTCACCACATGAACAACACAGTTCCTTCCAGATAACCAGGAAACCCAATCAAAACTCCAGGTTTTATAACTAGCAATAATATTTACTTTTTTCCATTTACAATTAAAAAACAAATGTAATTCAAGGCAGCTCAAGTTACATCCCCATCTAAAGAGGCACAACACACCGAGGAACCATAGAAGAGTAATCACAAGAATTAAAAATAAAATGTAACATCCGCATTATATACCCAATGATTAATTCAGGCCAATAAATTTAGGAACAGAAATATTCACAACATGGCATCCGAAAACCCAAAACGTAGCAGAGATCACAAACAAGGGCAAACAACCCTCCCTCCGTCCCAATTTAACTCCTTTTCAGCTTATCAAGTCGATTTGGTCTTATTGGAGCTATATCGAGACATTAATTACGTATTATATCAAAATGATCAAATAGTCCATTAAAAAACCTGAGACAAGAATCAGTTTAAAATTCCAAGGATATGCAAGTGGTAGACATCAGATACCCAAAACATGAATCAGGTCACCTGAAATCTAGAGATAGCATGAATTCAGCAATGAAATCGCATACAAATTTCAAACCCTAAAAGTGGCCAAAAATAAGAGAAAAGGGCACGTACCCATGAGGAAAACAAAAGGGTATCCCCAGATTATTTTGAAGAAGAAGATTGGGGCTTATAATAAGAAGCATAAGTCGGAGGAGAATAGATCACGGCAGCAGCCATAGCTCCCGGAAACACTGCGTACTTAGCTATCAGCGCAATCTTCCTCACCAATGGCTCTCCCTTCATCAACGACATGTTTAAATCTCTTTGATCAACACACCAATTTTCTTCTACTGCTCTCTCTATCAATCAATCACACTGATTGCTCAAAGCCATAATAATCTGACCCCTATTTTATTTCTCAATTCCACGATGCGGTTGAGAAATGATCCGACCCGATTCCTACCCATAAGCCTGTTTGCATCCACTAACCACTTCTAATCATCTTTTTATAAATAGCCACTAACAATGGATATATTTTAAAAATATGATATTGTTACGGAGTTTCACCTGTAATATTTGATATTTTATAAAGTTATTGTTTTTCAATTACATGTGCTAAAAAGTGGTTGCTTATATTCACACGCTTTTATGATGTACTCTAGGTAAGAAATTGCCCTCAATTGAGTTAAAATGAGTGGTTTGAACTTTTCACGCCATTGTCCATGGGAAAATCATCAAGGCCTAAGACAAACTTATTGATTTTGAAGTTTTGTCCCCCAAGTAAATAGGTAAAAGTTCAAAACTATTTACCTACAACATATTCTTGTAAATCACCCTACTCTAGGGGTGATATGCACAAACAAAAATATCAATATGTAATGTTTTTAAAGTTTTATCACCATTTAAAGTAATTTTTGTAAAATTAAACCCGACATTACATGTTGAGAAGAATGAAAATTTATGTTTTAACAAGTTATGTTAGATGGAACATAACATTTGATCTACTCTTATTAAATTGTTCAAAAATATTATCAAATTGACAAATCTTACCTTGTTACAAGTTATACAATCTTCATTTTACCTGACAGAAAATGTTAAAAGTTGCTCAAGATTGACAGTAAATGTTAAATTATTCCCAAGTTACGTTAGCTTTTCGCAACTGGTGTATTCATAGTTCCTTATGAACATTTTGACCAGTTATAATAAATATATTTGTACAAGTCACTGTTGCAAGTGAAAATATATATAACTGTGGCTACATTTTTCTGTAGAGAAGAATCAATATATAAAATCAGAAAAAATTAGAACGCCAATCAATATTTAAGTCACTGCAATCAATCAAACTTTGAACGCGATCCAGAGCTGCATGTCTATGCTGCAATAATGCAAGAGATCCATTGTCTTCTGGCTCCTGCTCCTGCTCCTGCTCCTCAGTAGTACTCTTCCTTTTACGGGGAAGCTTTCTCGAAATTTGTTTCCATTTTGATTCAAATGCACAAGCTACAAGCTCAACCACAAAGTCCCAAAGTAATTAGACAACTTGCTCAAACTCTAAGCTCCAGGTGATTCACCAAATGAAAGCTTACTGCTTTAGGAAGAGAGACGTTTATTCAACATTGACTAAAAGGTCAAGGACACAAGAATGAATTGAAGATGTTTAATCTGAACAAATCGATGGTGCTTTAATTTGCTTACTATGATACCACCCTTCCTGCAACAATCCGAACTTCCTCAAGGAAAAAAAACACAAGCTTCTTGGGCCTATTGAAATATGCCGCCTAGAACCTAAGACTCACCTTGGCGTGATGTTTTTATTTTAAAGATTATCACATTACTGCTGAGATGTTCTAAAGTTTTACTGATAAATCTAATCTCACTCAGCTTAACAATGGATAGTCTGATCCTATGTCGTTCTGTAAATCAATTATTCCCACATTTTGTCGCTGAAGATGGTATGCTCTAGTTCCACATATACTCATAAGCAGAGTAGTCACATACTAGACAATCACTTCTAGCTAATCCTGTTGATGATATAGAGAAAAGTAAGGTTTGGGACGATGAGGTACGTTGTCTAAGTGATGTAATAGGCAGGTCTCACTTGTGATCTTTTCCAGTACCATTATATTATTATAGGCACAGATTCTTTTTTGGTTTGATCAGGGAATTCAGCAATGACAGGCATTGGTAAAAGCACATCAAACAAGGTTTTGCTAATTAGAAATGATGATTTCACACTTGAAATCCAGACAATTAAAATAATGGCTTGGGACATTAAGAGTCAACAAGCAGCAGGAATACATCTATCCTGGAGAGCTACAATGGATTCAGAGTCTCAACTTACCTTTAAAATTGTGTTTCAGAAATAGTTTGCATGATAACTTATCATAACTGTTCCGCAAATTGTATGCCAGATAGTCAGTTTTGATTACTACCAGTTAAAAACATATTTTCAGTATTATGTCCGAATTGCGTTCAGCCTAAGCATAAGGTGGAGCGAGATGATCAATTTGAGGAATGTTCCAGGAACAGTTAAGAGCTTCACTTGTGTAGATTTTTTCTGCAAGTACACCAGTACTATGCCATAACAACAAACAGACACTGGTTTTATCTACAAATTCAGCTACCTAGATGAAGTTTCAGCGAATAGACAAAACCCAAGTGTTTGGCAGTAGATCTAGGCAATCACAAGTTACCTTGTGCACCTACTAGTGGGTAACTTGTGATATGCTTCTATTTCTTATGAAAACAAGGAAGCGAAGAGAGTCTAAAAGATGCAATAGCTAAAATGGAAAAATTGAGTGGTCGCCATTAAAAAAAGGAAAAAGAAAATAAAGGCTGTTTGTTGATCAAAAACAGAAGATACTGCAAATGCAAAACAACCTTACGAACTGTTGAGCCCCTTAAAAACATAACCAATTGTACTGGGAATTTGCCAACAACATTGAGAACTGTATGGTTCTATGCCTACAAATATTTTGGGCCAGATACAAGGAAAAGCTATGACTATCCTGTTATGATCCGTCTCTAGATAATACTCACACTGTTAACTCCTAACTCGACCTTGGTAACATCAAGAATACAAACTTTGAAGAAAACAGACACATCAATTACACTCTCTTTATAGTGCATTATCATGTCAAGCCTTACTTCTATCTTAACTAGCAATTTCGACATATCTCTTGAATTGCTGTTAGGAGAATGAGCTTGGTCAAAGAATCAAGAGAGCAGAAGTGGTTGGCTGTGTTACTCCAGTTAATAGTCACCAGGTACTTAGCAGATTACAATCTATTCTTGTCAGACCTTGATTCAGTCTTTGGTATAGTCTGCATATTTACTCATCAGAACCGAAATACATATCTAACAACATATGAACTTTGTACTCATAAAAACTATAGAATCAGTACTAAAGAAACTTAAGAGTAAAATGGCTTGTTGGTTCAAGTACAAAATGAAACATTAACAGCATCTACACTACCATCTTTCCAGTGTGTACATGCTCCAGGAGAATGCACAAAGCCAAAATTGCAACTGATCTCTGATGGGGTTAGCTTAAAAGTTGAATCATGATTTTAGGCAACCGAATGAATATCAGGGAAACCAAAAAGGAAACATCTAAACAGCAAAAGTATGTATAATCAAAACTTAAATGTGCGCTAGCATAACAGGAGTTATAGACTTGGAGGCAATTTAGTATTTCTGATGAAAGAAAGAAGCACATCATATATAATAGTTGTATAAAGAAAGTACCTTCACTTCTGCCCTTAAATCCCCGAATAAGGCATGCACAAATCCAAGGTCTTCCTGAGCGAGATGCCTTTGCACCCCCTTTTAATTCACCATTATGTTCTTTTAGTCTATAAAAGAGAGATCACCAATTAGAAATCAGCAGCTTAGATTTAAGTGTGTGTGTGTGTGTGTGTGTGTGGGGGGGGGGGGGGGGGGGGTCGT